GGCAACCTAGTGACAGAGGATGTGGAAAAAGCTAATGTACTCAATGCTTTTTTTGCCTCTGTCTTCACGAACAAGGTCAGCTCCCAGACTGCTGCGCTGGGCATCACAGCATGGGGAGTAGATGGCCAGCCCTCTGTGGAGAAAGAGGTGGTTAGGGACTATTTAGAAAAGCTGGACGTGCACAAGTCCATGGGGCCGGACAAGTTGCATCCGAGAGTGCTAAAGGAATTGGCGGCTGTGATTGCAGAGCCATTGGCCATTATCTTTGAAAACTCGTGGCGAACGGGGGAAGTCCCAGATGACTGGAAAAAGGCTAATGTAGTGCCAATCTTTAAAAAAGGGAAGAAGGAGGATCCTGGGAACTACAGGCCAGTCAGCCTCACCTCAGTCCCTGGAAAAATCATGGAGCAGGTCCTCAAAGAATCAATCCTGAAGCACTTACATGAGAGGAAAGTGATCAGGAACAGTCAGCATGGATTCACCAAGGGAAGGTCATGCCTGACTAATCTAATCACCTTCTATGATGAGATTACTGGTTCTGTGGATGAAGGGAAAGCAGTGGATGTATTGTTTCTTGACTTTAGCAAAGCTTTTGACATGGTTTCCCACAGTATTCTTGTCAGCAAGTTAAAGAAGTATGGGCTGGATGAATGCACTATAAGGTGGGTAGAAAGTTGGCTAGATTGTCGGGCTCAACGGGTAGTGATCAATGGCTCCATGTCTAGTGGGCTGTCGGTGTCAAGTGGAGTGCCCAGGGGTCGGTCCTGGGGCCGGTTTTGTTCAATATCTTCATAAATGATCTGGAGGATGGTGTGAATTGCACTCTCAGCAAATTTGCGGATGATACTAAACTAGGAGGAGTGGTAAATACGCTGGAGGGCAGGGATAGGATACAGAGGGACCTAGACAAATTGGAGGATTGGGCCAAAAGAAATCTGATGAGGCTCAATAAGGATAAGTGCAGGGTCCTGCACTTAGGACGGAAGAACCCAATGCACAGCTACAGACTAGGGACCGAATGGCTAGGCAGCAGTTCTGCGGAAAAGGACCTAGGGGTGACAGTGGATGAGAAGCTGGATATGAGTCAGCAGTGTGCCCTTGTTGCCAAGAAGGCCAATGGCATTTTGGGATGTATAAGTAGGGGCATAGCGAGTAGATCGAGGGACGTGATCGTTCCCGTCTATTCGACATTGGTGAGGCCTCATCTGGAGTACTGTGTCCAGTTTTGGGCCCCACACTACAAGAAGGATGTGGATAAATTGGAGAGAGTCCAGCGAAGGGCAACAAAAATGATTAGGGGTCTGGAAGACATGACTTATGAGGAGAGGCTGAGGGAACTGGGATTGTTTAGTCTGCAGAAGAGAAGAAAGAGGGGGGATTTGATAGCTGCTTTCAACTACCTGAGAGGTGGTTCCAGAGAGGATGGTTCTAGACTATTCTCAGTGGTAGAAGAGGACAGGACAAGGAGTAATGGTCTCAAGTTGCAGTGGGGGAGGTTTAGGTTGGATATTAGGAAAAACTTTTTCACTAGGAGGGTGGTGAAACACTGGAATGTGTTACCTAGGGAGGTGGTAGAATCTCCTTCCTTAGAAGTTTTTAAGGTCAGGCTTGACAAAGCCCTGGCTGGGATGATTTAATTGGGGATTGGTCCTGCTTTTGAGCAGGGGGTTGGACTAGATGACCTCCTGAGGTCCCTTCCAACCCTGATATTCTATGATTCTATGATTCTGGTGAGGGGGGCGGGGCAGGGTGTGTTTGGCTCCACCGGGAGAGCATAGTGGTCCCTCATGCTCCAGTTCCAAGGGAGGCCACTCAGCCTCACTACAGGAGCACATAGACCTATGAAAAGTCTGTGTGTGTGTGCAGGGGGCCAAGTGACACCCCTGTGAGTCATATCTGGAGGGGTCCTTTGCCTCCTTTAGCCAAGATACACTGCCTGCCTCATTCAAATAGGGGAGCCAGATACTCTGATAGGGGATCCAGATCCGCTGATGAGAGGCCTTACTGCCTGCCTTATATGTCCTGTTCAGCCCCAGGTATATCTTTGTCTCATGTAGATAATCTTGTTCAACAATCCAAGCCTCGAGGGGCTAATGCTTGAACCCCAGAGTGCCTAATTTATGATGCAATAAACTGGGAGTTCTTTATACTGACTAAATTGCTACAGGCTTGCTGGCTCCACAGGCCATACTGTACTCACCTACCCTGATCCTAAGTCATTGTTTGGTAACTTTATCTACCACCTTGTTACCTGGTCTGTTTAGACTAGATTTAAACAAAATGTCAAGATCTCTGGTGTTTTTCAACTTTATGCACATCAGGTGAACTGTCACTGAGCTCCCCTAGGCCAACCCCTTGCTCCCTCAGCTATCTATCATTCGTTAACTTCCTGGACTGGGAGGTTTAAAGGCCAAACCACAGCCCCTCTCTGTGCTCAGCCACAAGCACACATGCTAATCAGCACACTTGTAATACAGCCAAATGTTTTTACAATATTCCCAGTAGCTTTTCTTTAAAGCAGCAAACAGTTGTAGTCACACAGGCACTCTCCCAGCTCTGACCACCACCACTACTGTCACTACAAATTAGGTGGTTCATGTAAGCCTGGGAGGATGCATTCTTTTCTCATCAGCTACTCTAGGATTCAATGGCAAGATCTCAAGGATGCAAAGGCCGCAAAAACAAATAGTCTCTCATCTGGAGGGTGACAGAGATTTATTTAAAAAAAAAAATGAAAATGTCAAGTCAGCAAATGACTGAATAATTTAGGAGGAGATTTTCAAAAGGGTCTGAAGGATTTGGGAGCATCATGCCCCATTGAAAGTTACTGGCACTTTGGCTCCTAAATCCATTAGGCACTTTTGCAAATCTCTCCCTTAAAGAATATTAATGTCACAGTCGTACAGAGAAAAGTCTTCAGAAGAAGAATAAATGGTATAATACTACTTAAAGCTGTGAATGGGAAAAAAATGTTCCAAGGGCTCAATGTCCTATTAAATCAGGTGTCCCAAGGTGGGTATGGAGTAAGGTTGTGTATGTAAAATTTAAAGTATTTGCCCAGTAGGCACCTAACTCAGTCAAATGGGCTTTTTTAACCCTGCTGTGAAAAGGGAATACAGGGAGAGGGGTATGCAAGGACAAAGAACACCAAATGAAAGGGGGAGAGTGAAAGAAGAAAGGAAGTCATGCAATTCTTGATTAGTTCCTCGACCTACTTGTCCGTCCCTGGCCACCAGAAGTCTTGTCACAGTTGTGTTTTGGTTAGACCCATCCCTAAATGTCCTTCATGTGCCAGGTGAATCAATCGTTCTCTCAGAAGTGTAGGCACAAGATGGTGAGTTCTCAAAATCCATTCCTTTACAAGGGACAATTCACATGATGTACATTTATATGGTTGCAAGTGTGCTGGTGTCTTTGTCTTGTAGGGCCATCCATTGACTATGTTAAGTCTTTAGGTCCTGAAGTACCTTGTCTTCTGTCATGGCTGTTGCCCACTCTGAGGCTGTGATGACTCTGATAGTGATGATTGACAATATATAGCAGTAGGAATTCCACCATCGCCTAATCTCGTTCTTGACTCTCCAGGTATTAGGAGAAGTGTGAGACAAGGGAGACTGCTTAAAAGATTGGAAGACTCTATTACCAGACTCAAGTAACAGTTGGAAGTGACTGTTTAAAGTCTTACAATGGTGATTCTAAAGGGGAAGGGTGTGTTGTATGTAGCTAGGTGCAGATAGCTAACCCAATTTGTAAGTTTGTTGCTAGGTAGTTTCTGTAGCTTTGAGTCCAGGAACTACAATTCCCAGGAGGCACCAGGGGAGGTAGAAGGAAAGGAGGAGAAGGAATGGAAGAATGTCAGCTCTGTGAAAGACTGAGGGGAATAAACCTGACCTTTGCTGTTACTAAACTTCCTGAGTCTTCCTCAGAGAGGTTTAGGTATAAAAGCACGGTCAACTCCTGGTAGAATGGCAGGCTGAATACACTTTCTGGAAACGGGAGTTGTACATGTTTTGTCCCTGTCTACACTAGTGCTCAAACCATGTTCAAACATGGCTGGGGTGGGGGGACCAGAGGGGTTACTGTGTTTGACACCAGCTGTTAATTATTCCTAGCATACAACACAGCCTTGTTATATAATAGTTTTATAATAGTAAAAAGAAAATCCATGTCCTCACTGATGCTAGGCTCAATTTAGACTGTAATGTGCACGCAGCTTTAGTAGAGGTGATGAGAAATTGAAAAGCTGAATGAAAACAACACGTTACGGAAGGGGTTTTGGCCAAACGGCAACTGGGTTTTGAGCATATGATTTTTTAAAAAACACATGACACAGTAGCAGGTAATTTCCCCCAATTTTCATGCCCTGTATTTATAATAGTTTTAATTTGAACAGCAGTAGACTTTTAAAAATATGATCTATGAAGCAACCCTCAGATACCTCAAAAATACAGTAGGGTCAGCGGTACTCAGCCTTCAACAATTTACAAGCCATGTCATCATTGAGCTGCAGAGAGCCACAAAATAATAATGTGGTGAGATTATGACATTGCATCAATCTGAGATAATGCGGCATTTGGAAACTTCGTCACACATCAGCTACCTTCTCTCCTCTTCCTTTGACTACTAGGTTGGGTGGAAGGGTTCTCTCTCTCCCTCCCTCTGCTGGTGGCAGGGTGGGAAGGAAGCTCTGACTGACACGCATGTGTGTTCCTGTGAGTGGGGTTCTGCTTGCTTTTCCTGAGACTCAGTATGAAGCATGTGGATTCCCAGGCAAATGTAAGTGGTTGCTTTGAGGTCCACACAGGGCCATAAAGATAAGAAGTTCATGAGCTGTGATTTGCATTTCATGGGCAAAAAACGCACCCCACCCTTTCCTGGAAATGGTGCAAGTCAGATGCATGGATTAGACCTGCCTGGAGTTTGCTGAGCTAGTTTGATCACTCTCTAATTTTGATGTTAAAAGATTAATGGCACTAGCTGTCCTGTTTTGCTCTTTCTAGGCCATTCATAGTGCTGCCACCCCTGATGGAATGGATAAGGGTTGCTTTGGCTCATGCAGGGCACCGTCGCAGTTTCTCTGTGGACAGTGATGATGTACGGCAAGCAGCAAGGCTCTTACTACCTGGAGTTGACTGTGAACCTCGACAGTTAAAGTAAGTTCATGCAAAGAAATAATAATTTGAAAAACCTGTAGCTCTTTCACAGTGACAGTGATTTAACAGGCAGAATAAGGGCTTTGTTATGTCCTCAGATGTGCAGAATTCTCCTTCTCGTCACTGTATCTTGTAAAATCAGCTACTGTATTTGTTCACATGCCTGTACGAGCCAGTTTCACAGGCTGCGTGGTAATGTGCCTGCATACCTAACAACTGGATCAAGCTCTGAATCTGCTCATAAAATCTTGGTTTGTCTTTTACCATTACATTCTGCTTTATAATAAGAGACTGAAGTCTTCAGTCAATTATGTCTGTTTCACTGTGTTCCTGTTACAAAATACTGAGATGTAACGTATAGGATTGTATATATTCTATTGTTTTCTGCAATAGTGGTTTATACAGCACATTTACAGATAAAACCAGTTTTTGTAATAAAATTACATTTTTGATCCTGAAATCAATTTAATTCAAAGATGTTGCAGGTCTGAATAATTGGATGCTTATTTTTAAATATGTGAGATGTGACCTTCTAATGTGGCCCTAAAGTATATGTTTTCAGTATATGTTTTTAATGCGCTGCCTTTTCTTACTCATATATGTATGTATAAAAACAGCTTCGTAATGCATACTTGATTCTGGGTTATTTTTGCTTTAGATGTCTGTATGAAAAGCTCTTATGACTGTGTCACAAGCGGAATTATTCATCTCAGGTGCTTTATAGCTGCAGCACACGGTCGCCAGGCACTACCTTAGAGTCTGGTGAATTCAAACCTAGGCTCATATTTTCCAGAAGCCCTGTCACTCATACTCGGGTGATATTCAGGTGGGCTTTTCTGCCACACAGAAGCATGGAACCTGCATACGTGATTAGGTCTGACAACGTGCATCACAACAGATGTATTTTGTTGACTCTGGTTTTCCAGTACTCTTTCACTAGATATTATAATATTTTATTTTGAGACTGGAATAATGCTTTCTTGGTTGAATATTTTATTAAATGAATATGTTGAATTTAAAAGCTACATCTTGAGGTTCATATTTCAAATACTGACTGTAACTGTTTCATATGAAGGTAAATATCCTGGGCCTGATTGTCAGTAGGACTTAGTATTTCACGATTTCAGCTGAAGTCTATGAGGTCTGTCAGTACTCATGAAGCTCTTAATTTTAAAAAGGCACAACTAAAAAAACCTTTCCAATTGAACTAGTTGATACAATTGTAGAAAAGTCAATCAATATTATTTATTCTAGCCCCTTGAAAGAACAAAAATCATGTTTTGATATGATAAGAATATACAGTTTTTCTGTAGTTAGCATGTGTATAGAAAAACATTGACTGTTTTTACCCATTTTGCCATTTTAACAGAAGTTAAAGTTTCAAAATCAGGTTATGTTAGAGTGAATTGTAGTTATGTCCCAGATAATCGACTGATTATTGAGAAGAAATCAGTGATCAATTAAAGCAGCCATCCAGAATTCAGTTTATAAAGAAAAATAAACTATAGCCACTTTTCAGCTGTCTTACAGTCTGGAATGAGAATGGAAAGTACGATCAAGAATTAATGAGGGTAGAAGTGAAAGGTTAGTTCTGAGAAAAGAGCTGGGACTTGCCCTGGATTTGCTGTTGTGTACTTCACTTGACTATATGGGCTTGATTTCCATTCCCGTTTCCCAAAACTAAGGTCACTGTATACTGTTCTGCCAGTGTAAGGGGGCCTTCAAGTGAGTGTTACTGTGACATTTAAAGGCCCTTCAGACTGCCACACTGGTGTAGAGTGTGCTTGGTGTAACTGAGAATCAGGCACTGTGTGTCTATAATATTGAGATCAAAGGAAAGGCTGCTGCTTGTTGGAAAAATATCCAGGCAAAGCATCATGACATTAATTTGAAATCTTGCTACTTGTAATGTTTTGTTTGTGCTCAGTACAGGCCCTCAGCACTCCTCATTTCCACCCAGTCCATGTACCAGCCTCTCATTTCTCCCCAGTGAGCAGCAACAGCTTTGCATCTCCCCAGTCCTCATCAAGCATCAATTCTATAGTTGCCATGGCTTTGAAATATTTTCAAGGGGCAATTCTTCAAATAAACTGAGGGACTGAGGACAGCTGGAGGATTTTGCATGTAGTCTGATATATTTTAGATTATTTTGTATAAAAAATAGCCTAACTACTGGGAGCCTTAAGCCTGAAAATGTTATCCGTTTTTTCTTAAGGATCTTTTCTCTTACTGGTCTAGAAGGGAAAAAACAAAAAGACCCCCCTCCCTCCCCAAATAAAACAAAAAGAACCAAAACTAAATAATACACCGTATGCTACATTCTCTGTCCTGTGTCTACCATTGTGACATTGCATTATTCCTCTATGTTGATTCATGGCCTATTGTTAAAAAAGGTAAGACAAAATCTGCTTCCACACTGCAATACGTATTATAGAAAAGAAGTTTGGAAGAATCTCAAAAGACTTGGAGTTTAGGATCTGTTCAGATAAAAAATCGACTGTTCAGTGTCCTATCTGAACCTCCAGCAAAGAGATCTCCTACCATATTTTTGTGACACTTCCCAGCTCAATAAGACACACCTATGGTCAGGCACCTAGTACGTGGTTTTGTAAATCATCTCAGCCTTCTTTCTCTCCTTCCTCCCAAAATTTCCCTTCCTTCCTCCTCCCTCTGTCTCCCTTCTAGTGCCCCTTCTCTGTCTGCTGTGCTCTTCTGCACAGAGCAGGGGAGCCAAAAAGGAGGAATGAAATCTGTCAAGAGTGAGTAAGATGACTGCCTGCCTGTAGCTAGGAGATGCATCTGCAGCTGAAACTATAACCTTGATGGTCAAGGGAAATCCTTCTGCTCTGTGGGACATAGGGGGAAAGTTATGGTCTGTTTCAGCAAATAAGAATTGCTGGTAAATATTATCCCATCCCCCAGTGTAATGGTCTCCTTCACTAACCCAAATTCCAGTATCTCCAGCACCATCTGATTCCTTCCTTCAGCATTTTCAGAGGTCCCCACTTGCAAATCTGTTTTCCGTCCTCACCTCGTGGCCTGTCCAGTTGCCACTCAACAAATCACACTCCCAATCTTTAATACTGGGTTCAAAACCATTTTTTCTCCTGCCCCAACAAGAGGAGTAGAAAAAAGTGGATGGAAAAGCAGTCAGGACATATTGAGGAGAGCAATTCTGCTGACCTACTCTCCCATCTGGGAAAAGATATGGGCAGATGATCTGAGTCAGAGCGTGGTAAGCAGCCTGAGGACCTACTCTGCTGAGAGTTAAAGGATAATGTGGTATACGGGTTTATTTATCTCATACACAGTGATGGCAAGTGTCATATCTGCATCAAGTATCATCTGCAGCTTCCCATATGGAGACCTGAAGGGGTCAGTTTTGTCATTTTCCAACGCGTATGTGAAGCCAGTCAGAGCGTTAATATGATAACATGTTCTGAAGAATCAATATTCTGGTGATATCAAGATCCATATCCCTACCTTTTCCTGCTAAGGCAATTCTATCTTGATATTTTCTCCCTATTTTGGGGCCAGATTCACTCCTTTGGTTCTGCTAGCTCAGTGGCTCTCAACCTTTCCAGACTACTGTACCCCTTTCAGGAGTCTGATTTGTCTTGCGTACCCCCAAGTTTCACCTCACTTAAAAACTACTTGCTTACAAAATCAGACATAAAAATACAAATGTGTCACAGCCACTACTACTGAAAAATGGCTCACTTTCTTATTTTTACCATATAACTGTAAAATAAATCGATGGGAATATAAATATTGTACTTACACTTCAGTGTACTGTATCGTATATAGAGCAGTATAAACCAGTCATTGTCTGGATGAAATTTCAGTTTGTACTGACTTGGCTAGTGCTTTTTATGTAGCCTGTTGTAAAACTTGGCAAATATCTAGATGAGTTGATGTATCCCCTGGAAGACCTCTGAATACCCCCAGGGAGCTGAGAACCACTGTGATCTCAGGTTTCAGGCTCCTGGTAGCAATATGTTCACATGGAGCTGGAGCATGGTAGCACAAGCCTTCTGCAACCCAGTTCCAATGGGGATCCCAGAGCGGGCTGCCTTAGCCCACATTATGATCTTCTTTGGGGCTAGCAGATACACTAATTCAGAAGTCTGGTGACCCTCTACTTGCAGGGTTGCCCTAGAGTTGCAGTCATAAAATAAAGCTGCTTCCCCCTACAAGGGAAAGATGAGCTGTGGTATCTTTGCTTGCCTTCCTCTGCGGGTTAATGTCTCACCCAGCACAGAGAGATCTTGGCTTCATTTGTTCCTTATCTTGGTGCAGTCGAACTAGTCCCTTCCATGTTTCTGAGGTGGGGCCCCCATGCAGGATTCGTGTTCAGCCACATCAAATGCTGCGCAGTGGCCAAATGATACAAGTACAGATATATGGCCTTGTCCATCAGTGCCACCAGTGCTCCCTCTGTTCCGTGTCCTGGTATGAATCCTGACTGAGAGGGCTCCAGAACACTAGTTGGAATTGGAAACAAATCTTTGTGAACTTCCCTATTAGCTTGCTCAGCAAAGAGAGATTAGACAGGAGGCAGTAATTAGCAAAATCAGTTGCCTCAAGAGATGGTTCCTTAAATACATCCATTCTGTGCATCCGATGAAGTGGGCTGTAGCCCACGAAAGCTTATGCTCTAATAAATTTGTTAGTCTCTAAGGTGCCACAAGTACTCCTGTTCTTTTTTTGGAATTAAGTAGTGTTTAGTGGTGGGACAGGCTCCAGCCAGGTCAACAAAGTTCTGAAAATAGGAGTCATTTCTGAGCAGGAGCTGAACATGGTTTGACAATGGTCAGGAGTGGCTTCTCTCACCTCTGAAATATTCAATATAGGTGACTTTTTCTCCTGGAGGCAGACCTCGCCACAGTGATCCATGCCTAATGGATGATGCTTAATTAAGATTATTGTAATGTGCTTTATTTACAGCTGCCTTTGGAAACAGGTCACACACTGCAACTAGGGCAGACTGCTCCTGTGTA